GATACCTATAAGCTATTTTGATGACTGCAAGGGAATACAGTAACAGAAATGGGATAAAGTTGCATCTAGGACTTTCTGCTCATTATTTTAAATTCATTTTGAACTTCTAACACACTTATAAATACCAGTAAACAGAAACAGTGATCCTTTGCTATCAGCTTCTTCTCCCCTTCCCAGGGGGACGTCACAGGATCAGTGTGTTCCTTTCCAGAAAAACTAACCTTAATTACCGCATCCTTGCTTGAAAATACAGTACTACTATCAAAATGTGTGCCTTTTATGAAAGGTCTTTTTTTTAAAGTGCATAGCATGTCAAATGGATAGAAAATCGTATTTATTTTTGTAAGATCCTGACCGGTCATGTGCCATCACATGCTCCTGTCATGGCTCAGGTTGTGCAGCGATGACTCTGTTTGACTCAGCCTGTGCGTCTCTGCCGAACAGACAAAGTGACAAATGGTGATGTCGGCCCCGACGAGAAGAAGCAGGAGATGGAGAGAGAGAGGCTTCCCGAAGATGCTTCAGCAGGAGAGAATCAAAGGTAGCTTTGAGAACACAAGCTTGATTGTGATCCTCCTGCATGCTTGATGGCCTCAACAGAAACTGTCAGTGTAAATCAGTTGAACCCATTAGTGCTGGTTATATAACTCCAATTCATAATGTATACATAGTTTTCAGGGCAGTGCCACACATGTGGGTTGTTAACTTTTTCCCCCTCTTGGTCTATTATACAAAAGGTCATCCTGGAAGGTGCTGTGTGATACCTGCCCACTCCCACCTCGTCTTTGAGGTTCATACAAGTCACAAAATCAATGAAGGAAATAAAGCCTTTAGAGCTTATTTTGTTATGTGCTGATTTGATAAAGTTTTCTTACTTCCATTAACAGAATCAAGGCCCTTGCCTCCTGCTCATGACTTAAAGTAGGCATTTGAAAATGCATTCAAATATTTAAGAGATTTGATGTTAAAGGGGACTGGAACTTCTGTTCCTATGTTTCTGTTTTGTTTTTGTTTTTTTAAATAAAGAGCATTAGTAAAATATAACATTGAAATTCAGTTTCTCAAATACACTGTAGCTCTTGATCATCACAGTCTAACACAGAGTCAGTTAAACTGCAGGAATTTCAGTCTGTCCAGTTAGGAAGGATCAAGCACTGTGATTTCATCTGCTTTGGTGCAAATTAAATACAGGTGCACTGGAAAATAGAATAGAATAGCCTTTATTGTCATTGTACAGAGTACAACGAAATTGGAGTGCCACTCCCTTGGTGCAAGTTTCAATAATAAATATAAATGTAAAATATAAAAAGTACAAAAAAACAATCGTAAGTACTCAAACAATAGTATGTACAATATATACAGCATAGCAGCATTAATATAATGACAGTATGAATAGCAGCATAATATAATGACAGTGAGGGTATGGAATAGGTTTAATTGTTTTTGTGCTTATTTACTACGGTGGTAGCTCTGGGAAAGAAGCTATCCCTGAATCTGTTTGTCCTGGTTTTATGTGACCTGTACCGTCGGCCTGACGGTAATAGTTCAAACAGTTGGTTGCTGGGGTGAGAGTGGTCCTTGATGATATTGCCAGCTCTGCTGAGGTACCGAGAGTTTGCAGTGACCTCCAGGCTGGGCAGAGAGCAGCCAGTGATCTTCTGGGCTGTGTTGATGACCCTCTGCAGTACTTTCCTGTCCGCAGCTGAGCACCCTGCATACCATGTTGTTATGCCGTACGTTAGGATGCTCTCTATGGTGGCTCTGTAAAATGTCACCAGCAGCCTCTCCTCCAGGTTGTTCCTCCTGAGCACTCTCAGAAAGTGGAGACGCTGCTGGGCCTTTTTAACCACCGCCGTAGTATTTGCAGTCCAGGAGAGGTCATCAGAGATCTGCACGCCCAGAAACCTCATGGAGTGTACCCTCTCCGCACAGTTCCCGTGAATGTAAAGTGGGGCCGGGTCTGCTCTGCCCTTCCTGAAGTCCAAGATAAGTTCTTTAGTTTTCGTGGTGTTCAGTTGGAGGTTGTTAACTGAACACCACTCAGTCAGTCTGTTGACCTCATCTCTGTAGTCCGACTCATCCCCCCTTGAGATGAGTCCAACCACTGTGGTGTCATCCGCGAACTTTATGATGGTGTTTGAGAGAAGAAACAACAAACAGCATCCCCAGGCACATGTATGCTTGTGATTAAAATTTTTGGTATGATTTTGAATCTAGCCTTCACAAGGGTTGATGATTTTAGTTTCCATTGATTGTGCACAAGTGCTACATGAGCCATACATGTTAGAAGGATAACGTTTGGTCTTCCAAGGATTTTTACTAAAAATAAATGAGTAAATATAAAATATCAAGACTTTATCCTCACTATTTTTTAATGAACTGTTTTAACCTTTATCCCTTTATTCTTTATTTTGGACTGTAGTGCCCCGAAAACTCAGGAGGAGTCCACTTGAGTGTCTTGCAGGCCTGAAGAAGGGAGATTTGCTGCTGTAAAACTGGGCTGATCACGTGAGATCTCGTGCCCAGTTTGTGACTGATGACAACCACTGGTTACCAGTTTAATTGATTTGTTGTTGTTTTTCTGCATTGCTGCTGCTGAAAGCTTTCATCAGCCCAACTCCAGGATCGCGACTGAGTGCATATATTTTATTTTTATGCTGTCTGTAATCTTTAACTTCTAGACACCTTCTGCTTAGATGCATCTGTTTGAGTAGTGACACGACTTGTAAATCTGCAACCTTGAGTTTGTCAAACTTTAACGAGGATGGGAGAGAGTTAGTGCGGGAACCATCTGGTGGGGGTGGGGGGTGGGGGGTTCAGCTGGTGGAGATGGTTTTGATTGTTGGAGCATTTACTGATTCGACAGGTGGATCTTAGCCTCAATTATGGGAAATACAGACGATTATCTGTAGGTAGAAGCACCTTGAAAATGTCTAATAGCAGTAGATGTGTTAACTCTGTAAAGCGTGTTTCATACATGTCCACTTCAGATGCACGAAAACATAATTGTGGAGATTGCCAAAGTTTCTAGCCAAGAAAATGCTTTAATTTCTAGTCAGCGCCTGTTTTAGGTTTTTCTGTTTTTCTTTTTTACATAGATGTAAATAAGAGTATTTTTGTGCCTGTCTGATGACCTGTTTCAGCATCCAATAACAAAGTGGTAGCTGTAATACAACTGTAGTTTTTAAAGCTGATAGCACAGATATTGTGTGATAATATTAAACAAAGATTAGTCCACTTTCTGTCATCTGGATTTTTCTTAGATTTTTTCTTTTTGCCTGTTTAACCATAGCGGTTATTGTTGTTCTGTTGCTGCCATTTAAAAAAAGAAAAATCAAATAAACATGTTGAACTTGGATTGTGCGCTTTTTTTCTTGGTAAACCAATGGATGTGTTAGCTGATTGTGTTTGACTGTGTTTGTGTTTGTAAGAGTCACTCAAAGCCGAAAGGCTTCATCAAAAGCTTAGAAGTACTGTGTAAAAGTCTTGAGCCATCCTTCATTTCTTAATATTTTTGCTAGAAAAATGGGACAAAACTGCAGTGATTTATTCAAATGTGTACAAAAATACATGAAGGAATAGTATATCCTCCTGAGAATCCCCAAACATTGATTCTGTTCATCTGGGCTTTAATCAATGGTCATGAGAATTTGTATATTAAGGATCAAGGAACTGACCTCCCAGCCCATTGTTGACTTATTTGAGCAACCCTACTAAGTCCTGATGTACTAAATGGAGGACATACAGGGTGTTCCATTGATATCTCATGTGTTTGGGTGGACTCCTTTAGCTCCAGAGAAGGGAAATCACAAAAAGTTCAATGGGAAGATTGTTTTTTCCTCAGTTCTCAGGAGGATATAAGGCAAAAAGTTCTTAAAATTCCAACAACCCTAAAGTCAATAGTTTAGGTTTAGTTACCTTTATTCTTCAACAAAGCCTGAACTCTCTTAGGCAAGCATTTATCTAATTTCTTTAAGTAGTCTTCAGGAATAGTTCTGAGGTCTGGGCTCTGGGGAGGCCAATCCATGACCGATAGTTTTCCATTGTTTTTCAGTCCAGGTTGTCCTACTGAAAGACTTACCTCCGTCAATGTACCTCCGTACATGATACGTACATGACACTGAATTTCAGTCCAGTTATTGTGCAGTTTAGCATACCTCTACCTTTTTCTCTTAAGGATGCCTTCTTGACAGCTGCTTTTCCACTGAGGCCATTTCTGATGGTTTCAGTGAACAATAGATTGGCCTTAATCCAGATGCATCACTCGGGTTCTGTATCAGGTATGTGCTGGAGTTTTTGTCTGTTTTCTAAGGACTTACGACACCTTTTTCAGCATCAAATTCAAGCACTTTCAATGTCCATTTTCAAGCTTTTCCAGCACATTAGCAAAAAAAAGAATGCATGTTTCACTTTGCATCACCTCAGTAACGCCATGTGAAAATTAAAACAAATCATCCTAGGTTGATTTAAATACCGGTACCGTTGTTCCTCTTTTTGCTAAAACAAAGAAAAATGCAGCACACAAAAATAATGCAAAAGGAGGTTACCTTATATGCATATAGTGTATAAACTCAAAAAACCCCAAAACATTTCACTTAAAAATTAAGATGTGGAAATGTGAACAAATTAACTTGTTAGAGATGTCATATTCAGTAAAATTCAAGACTTTAAGAATGCACAAGCATCTACCTAAAATTATTTATTTAATCTATCATCTATGATATTATTATGTACAATTATAATGTATTCTTCCTCTCCCTTAAATAAACAGGCAGCCTTAATATTACCATTTTTCCCCCCTAGGTGTTGCCAAACGCACCAAGTTAATACTTGAAAAGCTGCAGCAATACACAAAAATATGACCAGTATTCTAATTACTTGGTGACAACTTTGCTTTTAGCCTTTAATTGGCTAGTTATGTAGTTCACAGCATATTCCATAAATTACCATGCCATAACTAACTGCTTTAGTAGCGCTGCCGTATTGCATCACACATAATACACATACTCAAAAATGATTTACTAGGACTTACGCAAAAAAAAAAAACCATTGTGAAAAGGTGCAAATCCTTCATGCAGACTACTCAGGTGGGGGCGGGGGTCTAGTCTGTACAACGACTAGCCCAGAGAACACTGAATCACTTTCACAAAGCCTGGACAAAGCTTTGCTCAAGACCACTTGAAAAATAAAAAAAAGTTTGACTAACTGGAAACAAAATACCAAATGGAAATGAGAAAGAAAAGGGGGGCGGCTCAAGACTTTTGCACAGTACAGTATAAAGGTGACAAATAGACAGCCTTTTAAAATTGTCATCTCACTAAGGTCGAGTTTCTGTTCCGTGTCACCCTCATTGATTTGAAGTACATCAAAATGAGTTAAACAAGCTGTATAAATGTCCACCAATCAAACATAACAACTCGGTTACTTTTAATGAATTCAATCAATCAAAAAGCTGTTTTGTGCATTTAAAAATCAATAACTTTACACACACACAAAAAAAGACAAACCCACACACAAGTATGCTAAACATTAAACTGACCGTGCTGCTGTCAACTGAACTGTTTATCAGTAAATGTTACTGTTTAGCTCAAAGAGGAAAATCAAACCCTAAAAAAAAAAAAGAAACAACAGTTTTGATGACGTTGCAAGTATCAGACCATTTCCTTCTGAAATATAAACCATGTAACTGTATTATACAGCAATAAGTCATGAGAACCATTAATTAAAGGCACCCCGGTCCACATAGGGATAGGCCAAGAATTCTCCCAGTTTATTGCCTTGAGCGTCGTAGTGCATCATACGAAAGCATTTGTCACAGAAGAGACATGGGTCACTCGGAGCAAACTGGTCGTTGGTGGTATACCATCTAGAAAGACGAGATACGTGATCAGCCTTTAAAAAAATAAAAAATAAAAATAATAACACAAAGCTTCCGTTGTTTATGCAGCGCCCTGATGTCTCCTCACCTTCCGATGAAAACATGGCAGACAGCACACTTCTGGGTGAGGACTCTGTGCTTGTGCGTGAGCAGTGGGTACAGATTCTTGTCTAGACAGTCGTTCTTGTGGGCCAGTCTGTAATGGGTAAAGAGCAGGGAAGAAGACGACATTCTCACAGGCTCTGAGCGGTAGGAACACAGATTTGTCTCACATTCATGATATCAGGAGCTGCTTTCATGTGCGGTCGGCCTGCTTACGCCAACGCTACATAAGCTCGAAGATAACTACGCATCCGTTAGTCTTGTGAGAAATGTTAAATCTCGTCTGACAATGCATCTCATTGTCAGATGGGATTGCTGCAGCTGACAAATCCACCTCCTGTACTGCAGTAGTAATCAGTTTATTACTTTACGGTTTATTAAGCACAGGGTTTGATGTTAACTCAAACCAGATAGGCATGAGTATTTCTTATTCATACCAAGCATCTTATTCATGAGGAGCAGAGATAAGCTAAAATGACCCTGTTTGGCTGCATGCTTATTTGGTTGTGTGATTATCTGGATGTACTTTACTGTGAACTCCACCAAACAAGAGCCGGAAACTATTAATGCATTACCGGACTAACAGAAGATAAACATTTCGATGATTTTAGCTCGAACTTTTCAACTTTGACTTGGCCGTATTATCGACAGCTGAAATGTTCAGGTTTTAAGTTGCTCACTGGACACAAATAGAAAACTCGAGTTTATTGCACGTGTGTGTTTCATGTTTGCACAACAGCAATAAAAAGAAATAAAAATGACTTTGTTGTAATGAAAGAGCATCCATTAAAGCAAGTAAAGAATAGTTCCTGGTTGAACCTGGAATCATGGTGTGCACCAAGGTGTGTATTGTTAGGTGAACTGTTTATTCTAAATTGGCTGAAGGTGTCAACAGTTATCTGCCTCTCTGCATCTGCCTGTGATTGCCATTCACACTTTCAGCTTTAATGCATGGGGTTCAACAAAAATCTTGCACTGTTTAGGAACTGTAGCCTTTTTTATATGTAGGGTCTCCTGTTGGTTGAAATTTTTGCTAATAGCCAATAAATATTACTAATTCCTGTTATCCCTTGTTACAGAGCGAGACGTTAGAAAAGAACCAGGTAAATGTTAATAATCAAACTCTTTCACCTTGAGCTATTCAGCTGATATCTATCCATTTAATGTTCACAGGACACAGTGGGCTAAATCCTTCTTGATTTTATGTAGTGGTTCAGTAAGCTTCCTAAGCCTCCGTCCTGGTAGAGCCAACAGTACTGCTAGAAGCATGAAATTAAACCAGTTAATCAGTTATTTAAACTTCAGGGGGCCTAGTTTCATTATTACTGTACTAATTCATCTTAAAGACAGCTGTTATTCAACTGTTGCTGAACAGAGGTGCAGGTGTATAACGCAGTCTCTCTGTAATTTGTTTGAATTGACAGCAACACACAGAATATGACATAAATGTTATTTGAGGTTGTAATAGTTATAGTGATAGTGATATATAGTAATAACCAAAACTGAGCAAGAGTTGGAGTGGGCTCTGTAAAGAAGTTGAATCACAGAACTAGACAATGAGTAGCACTAACCTAACATCTGTGATGATGACCAGATGTTCGCAGTCGCCCTGGTGACAGTAGAGATACGGGAATCCCACTTTGACTTTCAGATCCTCCAAAAGTGTATCCTCCATCTTGGCCTGGCTGTAGGATGGGAAGTTATGGGACTTAGCCCATTCAATTGTAGTCCTGCATCATAAAGCAAGAGGAGATAAGATGAGAAAAGATGTCTGTTATTCATCCAGAAGTTGGCAAATCCCCTTTTTATAATAGTTAAAGATTAAGTTAAACACAGCAAATGTTTAACAAACAGTATCTATGAAAGCAAAGAATAGTTTGTAGCTTAAAAAAGAAAACACAACAAAACAATTGTATTAGGGTAGAAATAAAGCTGAAATCAGAGTAAATATAATAAAGTAAAATAAGTGAAATAGAAAATAATGATAATAATGATAATAATGATAATAATAGAAAGATTTTAAAAAGTGAGCCGAGTTAAAAATTAAAATATAATATTTGACGTATATTTTTTACATGAGTTCCATGGTTATTTCACAGAATGATACATAATTTTGCACAAATCAAATCAAATCACTTTTATTGTCACATCACATGTGCAGGCACACTGGCACAGCACATGCGAGTGAAATTCTTGTGTGCGAGCCCAAACAAGCAACAGAGATGTGCAAACACAACAACACAAACGAGCAAAATACAAGAATGGCCAACCTGAAACTAATAAATATATGTACAATATATAATAGTGTATGCATTTCTGGATGTGTATACTAAATATTTTCCTACGTGTGTGTGTGTGTGTGTGTGTGTGTACACACATTTTTACAAATTAAATAGTTAAAAGAGCGCTTATGTCAGTGATGGATTTATTAAAAGCACAGCAAATATCAGATGACGAGTCCTTTCAGTACCTCACCACAACAGATTAGCCTGAAAAAGAAATACCAGGGGAAAGATACACTTCTTAATATAAATTATGCAAAACTTTGTGGATTTTTAATGGATTTCTAACATAAAACAAAAAACATTTGGAAAATCTCAGTCTAATTCTATTCTAACTGTAAAACTGCTTTTTACAGGCCCCCAAATCTGCTGTCAGCAAGCCGACATTCAAATATCTATATTCGATGTTAACTTGAACTACACTCCTGAGTAAATATTCACAGAGCCAACAAACAAAACTGAAGGACCGAGCTTAAAAAGTTTTCTAATTTAAAAATTATACCAGAAAAAAATGTTCCTGATTGGATCTTGGGAGGAGGCACAAATCAAGAAGGACCTATTAAGTAGAACTATCCTCTGTCAGATCTGAGATGATCAGCTGGGAAGTTGCTGTTGGGCAATGCGATAAAGTGCTTAGTGTGTGCTGAGGTGTAGATCACAACGCTTTGTGACCTTAAACTAAAGTAGATCTACAGTTAGCTTCTGCTCTTTAACAAGCTTCATGAGAATGCTACACAACAGACCAACATGCACTTTAAAGGGCTGAGCATTTCTGGAGATTACGTCCTCATCGATTACTTCAACTGGATTTATGTCTCTAGGAAACAGATGACTGTATCGATACGACTGTAGGTTGCAATCTAATGAATAAAGACACAAAAAATATCAAATCTGCTAAAACTGTTGTCTTTATTTACTGTGACAGGTCTACGTTTTATAAATGTGAACAGTTTGCAACGGTCAGACTAAGTACACTCTTCAAGCTTCTATCTTTATCTGCTTTCATAAGCTGCAGATATCACAGTGATTATTTGAGCGTTTCAAGTTATTTAACAAATCATTAAATAGAACTCTTGAATAGACCTGGTATTCATAGAAATCCTGCACAAAGCCAACATTTAGATATTTTATTCCATTTCATTTTACTAACCTTTCTACGGCTCTCAGCTCCAAGCCCAGGTCACTCCTTAGACACAGTTTGCAAACTGCTGAGCACTGTAGAGTTATTAAACATTACTTAAACAGATCTAATAACTTTATTGTTTGGAATTCTTTCCAGACATGTAGGTCCATAAGGTTTTGGGCAGTAACCTAATTTTTGGTATTTTTGCCTCTGCACCAATGCACAATGCAGATGTGAGCGAAGTGCAGACTTTCAGCTTTAACTCAAGGAGCTGAATAAATATATTCTATTAACTATTTAGGAATTACAGTCATTTTTATACAAAGTCTCAAGAGTAATTTTGAATTTTGGACCTAAAACTGTACTTTAAGACTTTAACCGCTTTTACAATTTACTCAAATAAAAACTGAGAACAAATTTAAGGTGGCACAGAAGAAGTTAGCATTGATTCCCACCGTGTGTGTGGAGGTTTTACTTCTGCCTGTGCAGGTTCTTTGTCTTCCTCCCACTGTCCAAATAGAGGCATGTTGGGTTAAAATGGCTATTCTGGTTAAGTGTCAGCGGTCGTTTGTGTCTCTGTCTTAGTGACAGACTGTCAACCCTGTCCTCTCACCCTATGACAGGCTGCCAACCTCCCGCAACCTCGATTTGGACAAGAAAATGGTTGACTGGACATACAGACGAATGAATAATTGAAAAAAAACAATCCAATCTAGCGATTGCTTGCATATATGCCTGCAAGTGTTTTGAAATGAAAGCCTTGTTAAGAAGTTAAGGGTTTTCAGCCACTGTGGAGTCAGGACTGTTAATATGAAACGATTGCGCTAAATTTGTTCAAGTTAAGCACCTTGAGGGGGCCATGTCAGGGAAGCTTGCGTGTTAAACTATGATACATTTTTTCCTAGGTCAGCTTTATTACGTTTGCAATTCATTCACTCGTGTTGCATTTCATTTTCAGAGGAGACACATGAGTGCAGTTGATAACTGTTTTGACTGGCAGCCCTGTGCAGGTGAAATAAAAAGATGTTCTACTCTCCAAATAAGAGCAGATTGCAATAAATAATAAACTCAATGATCTCTCTTTAAACTGCCTATTGAGTGAGTCATTGCTTGCTTTGTCACAATCAACCCAAGACAAAAGTCAAAGCAACATGAACAAATGAAAATGTCAGAGTTAGTCTTGTTTACAATTACTTGACCACTTTCTTTGGTCAAATAAATAAATAAATATGGTAAAATGGTAAATGGCCTGTATTTGTATAGCGCTTCACTAGTCCCTAAGGACCCCAAAGCGCTTTACACAACCAGTCATCCACCCATTCACACACTGGTGATGGCAAGCTACATTGTAGCCACAGCCACCCTGGGGTGCACTGACAGAGGCGAGGCTGCCGGACACTGGTGCCACCGGACCCTCTGACCACCACCAGTAGGCAACGGGTGAAGCTTCTTGCCCAAGGACACAACGACCGAGACTGTCGGAACCGCGGCTTGAACCGGCAACCTTCCGATTACCAGGCGGCCTCCCAACTCTTGAGCTACGATCGCCCGAATAAATAAAATAAGAGGCCCATTTTTAATACCAGCCTTCTACAGATTTAGGCCTGCTGCCTTCAACTGTTGTAAAGGTCCTGGTTAAGAAATGCATAATCTTTAAAGCTTCCTAAAGAAGGAGGTACTTACGAGCTGATGTCCTGGCACTCGGGAAACCGCATGTCATTGTAGAAAACTCCTTCAAAGAAGAAGAAAGCTGACTTGTAATGATCCTGAAAAAGAGCACATAAAATATTTTTCTCTAGCTTACAACAGATGCATTTTTAAATATATACATACATGTATGAGAGTCCAGTCACACTAAATGTACAGAAACAGTTACATTTAGATACGGAGCACAGCAATATTATTCTGTTCGGGTCCTGTATTTACCTTGCTGATGAATTCTGGAGCTACGTCAGGCGTGTTGCTGAACTCTCCACACACTTGCAAGTCACTGACGCAGCAAACAGCATCCCTGAGCTCTGCCAAGCTGTGGGAACCCGTCATCAGGAGAGTCATGTGGGGTCTGATGTAGTTAAACTGCAGGAAATGCGCCATTAAATATAGTATTCAACTACAACACACAACACAGTGGCTTTTAAAAAAAACAAAAAACAGTTTTATGACAAAAGAAACAAAAACAAAAAATGTAACCCTTACTTTGTCGAACACAGCTGGGTAGTAGACATTGATGGTTAGAATGATCTCTCCTTCGGGAACCATGTCAGTCACCGTTTCTGGTTTCCTGCCAATGGTTAGGCGCTCCTGAAAAATAAGAGAGAGAACCAAGCCTCACGTTTAGATACAAGATGAAAGAGAAAACTAAAAATGTCTGGGAACCTGTCAAGAAGCCCCAGGGGATAATAATAAACACCTACTTTAGAGCGAACAGTAAATGCAAAGGTTAATTATGTAATCTCAGTCCCTAACTAAATTCACCCACCAGTTCATCTGCATAGAGGTCATGTCTGTTCTTTTTCATCTTTTTAAGAGAAGCTCTGTGGTCTTGCCTCTTCTTTCTTTGCCTGTATTAAAAAGAAAAGAAGCAAGTCACATTTAAAATTGCATTACGATACTGATCAATCGCATTTTTCATTTGTATGAACTGAAGTAAGGTCATACACTAGTGTTCTTAATGTGGGATCTGGAGGTACAACTTCTGTGTCAGGCTGCTGATCTTCAGGATGACATCGAAGCGAATCAACACTTCAAAAGAAAGAAAAAAAACAAAGTCATTTGACTGTCTTTGGTAAAAAGAACAGATCATCTTCACAGAGTTATCAGGTGAGAGTCATGCGAGTATCAGAATCGACAGGACTTTTTTTCTTTGACGTTTTGTTTCATAACGGCCATCGTTTTACTTGCAGCTCAATTCTTGTTCCGGAGTTTGCACTAATTAACGAGCCTACTGTGAAACTCCTGGACTGAAATCAACGTTTGAAATAATCATTTATTTTAAAAGCAACCTTCCAGTGACCACAAACGTCATGAGACACAAAAAATAAACATCACCCACTGTCATTAATAAATGTCATTTTAGTCACCAAAAAAAGGATAACAGCCGATAAATCGGCCCATCTCTGTTTAGTTTACAGACTGTGGAAGGAGTTTATATTTTCACACTGTTAAAGCTGGCATTCATTTCTTTAAAGAAGAACTAATAACGTTTTGTTAACTGGATAAAAAACAAAAAATAAAACATCATTTAGTTTTTATGGAAATTATAATAAAGATTTTACAAACTATACAACTAATCAGGGAAACATGGATCTATTTATAATTACAACTGACTTAACCCCATAACCTAAAAAGCTTCAGTTTTAATTGACATTTTTACACGACTTACTTGAACGTAACATGTACGTTGTTCTATATTTCAGTGTCTTTACGCCAACCTTTGCAGTTGTTTTCCCTCTATGTTTGACCACATGGTGGTTTTTGTTGTATTTTACGGTAGTTTATGTTTCTGCCGCACATTGGGACACTCTGTAACTCTTAATTCATAGTTATATAAGTAAGTGTTACAGACCTCTTCCACGTTTGGTGTGTTTACTACCAGTTTTGGGACAAACTAGATTCAGCTATCAGCTATTACACCTCATTATGTAATTTAACTAGTATTCTTAATATCAGTTTACCATTACAATTACTGCAACTGAACTTAATTACCATTAACATATTATTATGGTGCACATGCCTGGTCTAAATGTTTATCAAATGTTGATCTCGACTACCTGCACACAGTCTTAAGTTCAGCCATGGTTTCCGCACCGACCCCCATCTCTTCGGCAAAGTTAGCAAGAAATGCGTCCTCATCCGCCTCCTCATACGAGTAGTCGCTTGGCTTCAGTCTGCTCAGCCACTCCTTTTTAAAAGAGCCTATATGAAATGGTTTTGTATTAACATCGGGATATTCGTACTCCGGGATGTTCACGTTTGCATCTGTCGTCTGCTCGGACGCCGCCATGTTTCCCAGAACCCAAAAGTGCGCCGAGAATCTTGGGATATGTAGTTTCAGCGCTACAGTGCCGTTTAGACCTTGTATGATTAGGCAAACGGGAAAAATATTGGACAAAAGAAAACCAACAAACAGCTTTCCAAACATCTGTTTCATATATTATATAGTACTGTGCAAAATCCTTGAGCCACCCCTCATTAATTTGTGTGTTGCGTCCGAGGAGCCGGACTTTGTTGTAATTATTAAAAGTGATCTTCAGCATTAGTCCTCCAGGGTTTGGACACTGGTGGTAAAGGCTCTAAATACTACATTTTTGGTTCAATTTTTGTCTCATATACTGTATTTCCATGTGTTTGTGCATGTTTGTTGAGCACTGTAACAAAAAATAATTTCCCCCAGGGATCAATAAAGTATTCTGATTCTGATTTTTCAGCAAATTGCTGCACCTCTGTCCTACATCACAATATAAAGCCTCAAGGGGTAGCTCAAGACTTCTGCACCCTTCTGTATCTACATCTATTGTACTTGCTTTTTTCCCCCCTCTAATGTATTTTTTTTTTACATGGTATTACAGTCCTGTTGTGGACAAGAATGTCAGTACAACAAAAAATTGAGGAAAGGCTAAAGCTAAATTTGTATTAAAACAGACTATTTATGTTAAATGACAATAGTGAATGAGGCTATTTAGGCCTCCTTTCTTTCTTTCTTACTAAATCATCCATGAACTGCTCTTCTAGTATGCTGTAATACCTCATTAGATTGATTCGCTGAAGCTTGAATGAATGTGTGTGAAGTAGTCTGGCTTAAGAGTCAAGGAAGCTGGTTGGTAAGCAGACTCAGCAAACATTTTAAGTTCCCAAAGATAAGCAGTTTATTTACAGTTACCTCCATAACGTGGAACTTAAACCAAACCATCCCAAACTAACTCACGATAACTTAAAAACCAAAAATGACACAAACTGCGCAACAGCGCTCACCTTTCCTCCCTTATCTGAACCAACATGAGACTGACTATATATAGGACTGTCAATTCACCTTCAATTTGTCTAGCCTGTACCACTAGCTTAAGCTGCTGAATCTAAAACACAACACAAATAGCAGAGAATCACAAAAGGCTCACTGCTCTCCTGATTAACCCATTTAAACAGTTAAATGGCTCTATATAAGAAAATATTCTCGACAAATCACTCCATAATCCAAGAGACAAGCAAAAGAAAACATTGCTATGGAAAAAAAAACCCTCCTCTTGGTTTAGCCTGGGGGTGTGACACGTGACATCATCAGCACTTTAAAAGTCAGGGACTGCTAGGCAGACCCCTTTCCCCACACCTTTCCTATAATGTAAGACCTTCTGGTAACGCAAAACAAAGAAAGAATGGTAAGTATGAACAAATGGGTTAAATCTGCTACATAATAAAATATAAAGCAATATATTATTGAATATTTGTTTTAATCTGCTGACTGTTTGATTCTGACTGCAACGTAATGCTTGGGGGGGGGACAAAAACGGTATAGTAAGTAAAGCAATGTTACTTTGGCCATAGCTAAGCATAGCAAATGTACATGTAGAGAATGTGCTTTGGTATAAAATGTTGACACTTATTAGACAAGTGGTGAGTAGAAAAGTCTCCTGACAGCTCACTCACTTTGTCACAGTGTAGCGCAGCATGAGAAATTAGGAGGAAAAAAGGAAGTGATTTAGTTATGCAGGGACGTCACATGTATGCAGATAATCAGAAATTGTAACCCGTTCCAAGTAAAACACCCTGCGTACCGCCACAGCGCATTTACGCCACATCAGCTGCATGGGGAACAGCTGGAGGGATGTACCCCTCGATGACATAGTCTTTTGTATGGGAAAATGTTTTCCTCGGGTTCTCCGCCTCCCATTCCCATGCACTTGGTACAGTTTTGAGATAAGTTGTACTTGACTATCTCCTTTTCATCTTTTCTTTGGGTTACCATTTTCGCTCAGATTCATTTATCTATTATCGCTCATCTATTGTTATATAACAAAGTCAAACTGGGGCTGATTGTCAGGGCAAAAGTTGAGACATTCATTCGCTGAATGTCCAGGAAAATATAGCAGTACATTTAATGTAAAATGTCTAATGTCACGCCTTTCAGTGTAGGAAGAGAAGTGCTTTTAAGGAGAAAAATTAAAGATCTCGGCATTGCAATGCTTTGAGGCAAATTTGTGGGCTGGTCCTAAAAATCCAGGCCACACCCAACTTCTTACCTTATAAATGGCAAACTACCGTTAGTCTGCGCTTGGAGTCAGTGTCAAGACTTGTTGACTTGTTGCTACAGGGAAAAATATCAGACCTTTTATTTTTCAGTGACTTGGTTTAACTGCTTTTTATTTAACTCAAGCATCAAATGGAGGGTGAAGACAATTCACTACAACAGGTAGGTTCCCTCAGTTTCTCTAAAGTAATGTAATGAAAGAGGCGAGCTTTTAAAGGTGAGTGAATTTCAATGGTTGTTTCTGGCTTAAGTGCTTTTATTATAAGTTTTATTTTGCATGTTACTTTGAAATATTAAAGTTACATGATTTCAAAATAATAACACCCAGTAAACCCAGTACCAAAAAGCCTTGAAGAAAACTCTGGATAGTTTCATTTGTTTAAGATGCTGTGACAAAGGGCTTTACTGTGCAGGTTAATCAACACACTGAATATCAGCTCAGTGAGAACTGAACTGAAATGAATTTTTAAAAAAAGCTAACTTACACATTTTGGCAGCTTTGATTTCAAGTGTCTCTGCTTGTTTTCAGGTGGGTTTGAAGCAGCCCAATGAGGATGCAATGTAAGTGACATCATGCGATGAATATGCTTATTGTAAGAGTTCTAATGCATTTATCCTTCATATTTCAGAGTTATGGAACAAAATTCTTTAGACTGGCTCCATCATTTGGTTTTTGTTATTTTGATTTTGAATATTCATTTTTGACTCTTTGAAAAAAAAAAATTATTATTATTATTATTCAGATTGCCTGAAGAATTGCCTAAAATGGCTTTGGAGACAGCATTGAAAGAATGCTTCACTGCCCTCAATTTCTTCCTGAACAACAGGTTTGCCGATGCACTGGCTCTTTTAAAACCCTGGTAAGTCACTGTTACTCTAACAACCTGACTATGTCCCCTTTAATATGTTCATGTATTGGAACTTTATGACGGTATTTGGATACAGGTTGTATTTTTACTGTGGATTTGCAAAAAAATCCCCAAATTTTGCTGCCTTCCTATCCTCTAGGAAGAGTGAAAGCATGTACCATGCGATGGGCTACAGTAGCATTCTGGTGATGCAGGCCGCTGTGACTTTTGATGCAAAGGACATGGATGCTGCCATGACATCACTGAGAGAAGCCTTGCAGGTCTGCCAGAGGTATCCCAATAATTAGAATGACCATTTGATAAGGTGTAAAGTTTTAGGATCTCTTTGGGTTGTTAAAAATCAGTTTCTTAACAACTTTAGATTTCGGAAGAAAACGGGACTAATGGAAAGCTTGGCTAACCTTTGGTACAGACAACCAGCTGACAATCTGACAGAAGGCGAGTGAATTACTGTATCTGCTGACTTTACAGCTTGGGGAATTAATGAATTTGATCAACATGGTGAAACATGACATTTTAATGGCTGTGTCACCTTATCTGCCATTTATTAAACACACAAACAAAACAAGACATTTGTAATTTTTTTTTCCACACATAACATGATGTTGCATTTCTCATTATCAGAAGAGATGCATGCAGAGCTGTGCTATGCTGAAGTCCTGCTGCAGAAAGCTGCCCTCACGTTCTTGGATGAAAGCATAATAGGCTTCATCAAAGGAGGGATGAAAATTCGACACAGTTATCAGCTTTACAAGTAAGAGGTTTGGAGGCGGTGTTTATAATAGAAATGGCCACCAAAAACATTTTTATAATTTTTTTAAAAAAAGAGATATTTTATTTGAATTAATGTAAATGTTTTTCCAAACCAGGAATTGCCAGGCCATGGAAAAAGTCACAAAGGATGAGGAAAAACAGAGAAGCACACACATTCATTTTAGGGGTGGGGTCAGCATGGGAATTGGATCATTCAATCTGGTGAAAAAATAAGATTTGTTCCAAAATATTACAAATAGTTTTATTTAATATATTTAGTAACAATGTTATATTATTTTTGGTTTATATTTTGTTACCAGATGCTGTCTCTGCTTCCATCCAGAGTCCTTAGACTGATGGAGTTTTTGGGCTTCTCTGGAGACAGGGTAGGTGAGACCACATACATACCAACAGAACTCAATAAGTGTGGACAGCAAGTGGAAGTGGGTCTGGAGAAGTGGAGTTATGCCATAGAGAAAAGAGGAATGAAAGTTGGTAGAGACAGAATACATGTGTGAAAGAGAGGGAGGCAGGCGGAAAGGTGAAGCTGTAGTGAAGGTAGACGAGTTTAATGGATGTAGTGAAGGAGGACATGCAGAGGGTTGGTGTGACAGAAGAAGCTGGGGATGGGGTGAGACAGAGGCCAGTGATCTGTGTTGACAAGTCCAAATGGGAGCGCCCCAAAGAAGTTGTCCTGTCCTTAATATTTTGTCAGTTAAAAGAACTGAACTGTCTCACAGGAAGTGGGTTTGTCAGAGTTGAGAGAGGGAGCAACTACCAACAACCTGCGCTCCATCCTCAGCACCCTCACTCTGCTGATGTTTCAGCTCTACATCACAGTGATACTTGGTGAGCACACTGTAGGCTGGGGCTGTTGCTTCTCCTAAATTCAAAAATCGTGTCTAATCTTAAATAATACCAAAGTTATCATTCATTTGACTTTAATGTGAAAATGATTCTTTAAGGGACTGCTGATGTAAACCTAAGTGAATGTGAGGCTCTGCTGAAACCCTACTGTGAAAAGTTTCCTAATGTAAGTTGTGGGTGTACCTTACTACTTGTGCAAATATTAATCTTTTAATGCCTTTTAGTGTAAGAACTCTGACATTTTTCCTTTATAGGGGGCTTTAATGCATTTCTTCAGTGCAAGGATTGCTGTGCTCAAAGGAAACTTCACATTTGTAAGTACTCATGATGTCTAATGTATGTATTTATAGAACTTTCTCTCATGTAGTTATTGCTCTGTGTAGGCCCAAGAGAAGTTCTTGGCATGTATTGCATCGCAGGAAGAGTGGCGTCAGATTCACCACCTGTGCTACTGGGAGCTGATGTGGGTCTACTCCTTTGAACAAAACTGGTTTGAGGCCTATCGATACGCCAACTTGCTCAGCAAGGAGAACAAGTGGTCCCAGGTATCTAATGTGACAAAATCTCTTTAACCCTGTAATCACATTACTGATTCTTTTCTCTATTGAAACCTTTCTGTTGCTTTCTTTTCCCCATTTCTAGGCAGTCTATGTATTTCAGAAAGCTGCCATCTTGAGCATGATGCCAGAGGAAGAAGTGAACAAGTTCAATGAAAATGTGGTGGAATTATTCAGGTGTGCAATATACACTACATATACACTAACGCTCCTTCATGCATCTAGGATGCAGCAGTCTGTCACTGAAGGAGCTCTGCAGCTCAGCAACATTTACATGCATGGGGTGGGAGACTCTGTCCATCAGAAGTTATTTTGGCCAGAGTCCTTCTGTCTCCCACCACCTGCACTAGGTCCAGGGTGCATCCCAGAACAGAGCTGGCCTTTCTGATGTATACTAACAGTACTATTTAGTTTGTATCAATAAATAAAGTCACTGAAATGTGGTTTGAAGGCAGGTGGAGGGCCTCAGGCTGAGATTTGCTGGGAAGTCGATTCCAACGGAGAAGTTTGCAGCGAAGAAGGCCCAGAGATACTCCTCTTCCACCCCCGTGAAACTTGTCGTTCCTGCTTTGGTGAGGACACGTTCTCTCAGTGAACTGATGTGTTTTTTTTATTTTTGCATTTGTAAGCAACAATCATCTGTTACCGCAGGAAATGATGTATGTGTGGAATGGCTTCACAATAGTAGGCAAAAAACCCGAGCTGACTGAAGGAATCCTGTCAACTTTAGAGAAAGCAGAAGAGCAGCTCAGAAATGATCCAAGTGAGGAAAATTTTCTAATCAGTGGGTGTTTTTTAATACTGACACAAGGCTTACAGTTTACTGTGTGATGTGCAGACCCATCAGAGTACCACACAGGCGATGAGTGCATTGTCCAGCTGCTGAAGGGTCTGTGCTTAAGAAGTCTGGGACGGCTGGTCCAGGCTGAGATCTGCTTCAATCATGTCATCTCCAGGTGAGCTTGTCTTGATGTCACTGCAATACACCAGAAGCATTCGAGTGGGAGTCTACTGAAAGTCCTCAGCAGAAACTTTTACTTCAACAATCCCTTCAATAGACTACTTTTCCAAGAGCTGATCTGTTTAATGTCCCACTTAGGGTCTTCTGCAACCAATCAGCACTGGGGATGAATCGGAGGGGAGAGCAGGTTAATAAGGATGACAGTAAATCAATGGCAGAATGGTAGATGTGCTGACGCGTTAATGCATAAATAACAGGCATATTATTTACATTTTTTAACTCCTCATTGACCTTTTAACAACATTTAAATGTTTCCGGTCTTCCCTGACTCTTAAAAAGGACGAACACAACTGGCATAACATGTATTGCGCAATACATTTTAATCAAATGTTTTAATAATTGATGATAAAGCAGATTTCTCTGCTTGATTACTGATTATTGATGCATAAATATCTTATCTGGACAATTTTACCTCCCTGTGGTGTTAAAAATAAATCTTGCTGCTGCTGTTGCTTTTTATAATGCTTCTTAACAGACAGACTGAAATGACTTTTGTTTTTTTTGTTTCGTTTTGTTTTTTCTTTCAGTGATGGTGGCATCAAGCATGATAGCTATCTGGTGCCCTTTACCATGTATGAGCTTGGCCTATTGCACAAGCAGAAAGGTGAAATCAACAAGGCCATTGCTGTAATGGAAAATGTCATGTAAGTCTTTTCAAACAGTCTTTTAATTTGAATACAAATAAACTTTGAAGTTACCTTAAAAACAATGGACAAAATTTCAAAAAGATGTTTTAAGTTTGACGTGTTATCTAAAGCACTTTGAGTGCCCAGTTAGACTGGAAGTCTGCTATATTAACTCACCAGTCGCTTAAGTAATTACACTTTGAATTTCGGTCAACCAAACAAACCCACACACGCAACACAACGGCTACCTGTTTGTTCTAGCAACATCTAGAACCTGCTGCCATGTTACATATTACTGACTCTTTTTATTTTTTTGCAGGACGAACTACAAGGACTACAACATGGAGTCAAGGCTGCATTTCCGCATCCATGCAGCACTCAACACCATGGGCTCCTTTGCAGCCAAACTTCCACCATCACGCACGGCAGCTTAAGAGATCCTATTACATGAAACTTGACAGAAAAAGGGCTTTAAACCTGACATTGTTTACTGTTTCATTGTCTGTTGCCTTCAACTCTGAAGGTCCTTGGTCTTCTGCTCTTGGTGGTTTTTTCCAAAGCATGCTGTGGTTTACTTTGCAAATAAATTAAGGGTTCACTCCCTGCCTGGTCGTAATGCTAAATCTGCAAATTATTTATTTTTTGTTGTCATTATATTTATGAAAATATAACCTATTTAGTCTATAATTAAATGAGAAACAAGCAAGCAAAGGCTCCAGCCTGCCTTTATGATTGCAGCTTACCTGGTATTTTAAACAGCATGCCTGTATCACAGATTGCAGCTTAGCCATGCTCTAAGGTCCTTCTGTACAGCTGAGTGCCAGATGAAACAAAGTACTGGGATTGGCATTTTCAGAATAAATATAATGTTCACAATCCTGTCTGCTGCTTGTGTGAATGTTTCTTCTCGGGCCTCTTAAAAAGAGAATTTAATCTCAGTAAGATTGAGTTAAGTGAAGATTTCTGTGGAAAAATAGCATTGTGTTTGTGCATTTGATTACTGAAGGTGAAATGGCCTTTGATCAAATACACGATTCCCACATGCATAATCTATACAAAAGTACAGGTGAGGTTGATGAAGTAAGGCAAGGCTGAGATTGTTTGGACAAATATGCTGGCTAAAGGGTGTTGATGATAGAGGTGCCAGGCAGGAGAGAAAGGGTAAGACCACAGAGAATATTCTTAGATCTAGTGAAGGACAGCCAGGGGGTGGGCGTGACAGAAGAGGATGTTGGGGGAAATGATTTGCTGTGGCGACCCCTAAAGGGACAAGAAGGAAAGAGGGGAAAGAGATACATATAGATCCATATATATTAACGTGACCCGAGCATGCTTCTTTTAAAATGTATGTTTACATGTGTAAAAATAAAAATAATAAAAAATGAGGACTGAAAGTTTAAAGTCTTCTCACATTTTTCGGCACTAATTTAAATCTCATTAACACAGCTGGTTACAGCTTTCACATTCACCAGATTTAAATCCCTTTAAATTTAGATGGTGACTGTGGGAGCCGTTTGACTAAGGTGTATTCAATGTCATATTCAAAAATGCAGTTTGAGACTATTTGAACTCACATGGTTTGTTATCCTGCTGGAAGCAGCCATCAGAAGACGTGTACACTGTGGTCATAAAAGGATGAACATGATCATCTGTTTGCTGGCAGGCTGTGGCTTTTACATTATACTCAGGTGGTACTAAGCTGCCTAAAGCATAACAAAAAAAATATAGCTAATACCTTCACACCACCAGCCGCAGCCTGAAAACTTGATACAGGGCAGCATGGATACTTGTTTTCATGTTGTCAAATTCTGACCCTACCAACTGTGTAGCCTATAACAACAAAGTTTTAATGTTGTTTTAATTAACCTTAATGTGGTTAATTGTGTATATATAATATTGATATCCAAAAATATTCATGTTATGCTAATAAAAAAATACTCTGATATTCTGTGAGGTTTACGCCTCAGTAACCCTCTGACTGGCGCTGCTGTCAGTGCCGTTGACCACGTGGTATGAGGTGCTCAGCTGACTGCCGGGGGAGGAAGAGGAAAGAAGATGGAAGGGAACAGAGACGAAGCAGAAAAATGTATAAATATAGCAACAAAAGCTCTCGAAGCCGGTGATAAGGAGAAAGCGTTAAAGTTTCTCAACAAAGCAGAGAAGCTGTATCCGACTATCAAAGCCAAAGGTAAGGCTGTTTGTGGCTGACTTGTACGTTTAGCTAACCAAGCGAAGGAACAACCTGCTCCTCATCCGCTGATATTGTGTAAGTGTTAGCATGTAGCTAACATCTGGTTACATCGGTTCGTCACAGGCCATCTGTTGAATAGTATGTAACAGTGTCAAACGTTTGTCAGATTACTTAACGTTTTTCAAAACTGCGCTATGTTTTATACACAGCAACATTAGAAACACACGTTTAAATTAGCCAAGATGTGGCCTGACAGCTAACCTAGCTTGCGCTTTCCTTTGGGCTTATCAGTTAAAAAATGGAATTTATAGTTCACATTAAGTTAATAACTAACTATTATCCCGTCGTGTTTTTTAAATAACGCCTTCTAACTGATGAAAGGTCTTAGCTAAATGACGAAACGTCAATTCACCAACAAGCCATTCATTCAATTTGACCCCGGCTAGTTATCGCTACTAGTGACGTTTTATCTCAGTAGTAAGCTGGTTTTCGTTTATTTGTTAAGCTGTTATTTCACTTTCACTTCATTTCGGCACACATTTTTAAAGTATCTGGGGATTTAGGGGCAAGAGCGAAGCTGGAAATGTAGGACGATGTGTATATGCTGTCCAGGCCACACAGCCACCCGGTCAATCCTTTAATTGAGTGATTGACCAGGGAAAGGCTTGAAGTGAAGGCTAATCTAGGACACACGACCGTCTGTGGGATGACAGTAAACCAGTAATAAGGATGAGATTGAGACCGCTTTGGATTATAGTTTAGAAAAAGTCTTAATTATATAGCATTGTGAGTGCTTACATAACAACATAGAGGAACTTGCTCACTGATAATTAGTAACTCCTCCGCTTTTAAACTGTAACTCGTTGGTTGAAATGTGTCTAGCTGTGTTCCTACACTGTCAGCATTAGCTGTGTGTGTGTGTGTGTGTGTGTGTGTGTTAACCACTGCAGTTTTCAAGATGCCCACAAGAAGCTTGGATAACTTGCTGCCTTTTACTTGTTAGCCATGTAGTCTAACATTAAAAAGCCCCCACTCATGGCACAATTCCACAAGGAGACATCCAGCATAAAAAAAAGGCTAAAAATATAAGGGAGCAGCTGAAAGTTTCTTTATCTTTGGATGTTTAAAACAACCTCTGAAAACAGATGACATCAGCTTTTGGGAATAAAAAAAAATCTAACTTTGTGACTTTATTGACAAAGCAACACATTAGAGAAATAAATATAAGTTACAATAAATTACAACTTTAAAACGGTAATGAAAGTAATTGGTTGGTGCACAAGATGTGCACTAAAATGCGAAGATCATCACAAAGATGTGTAGCTAACACTTAATACACATTATAAAATTGCATAATGAAGAAAAATATGAATTAGAAGTTCTAAACTGTGCAGCTAAAGAATAAAAGCCATACTGTTTAGGAAAATGTGGATTTTGTGTTTGAGGGTGAGTCGACAGAGTCTAGAACTCAAGTCCCTGGCTGTTATCTTGCTCACGCACTGATGTTATTACTGATAAAGATTAAAAATTGCTGGCTGAAGTAATCCTGAGTATGCAAGGAATTTCTATTAAAAAGGTGGACTTATTATTATTATTATTATTATTATTATTATTATTATTATTATTATTATTGGTGGATTATTTGTGCTGGTGAAATGTTTTTGCATTCACAATGAAGGCCTGACGGAGCTGCATGTAGAGGGTTTACAGTCTCATGAGCACTGCAAATGTAGTTTGTAGATAGGTTTAACCTTAATGTGGTAAAGCAATGTGTCAGGTCCCCTGATATTGCTACTGCAGCTTTGCTTGTGGCTGTTTAGCATGAACTAATCTCGTGTGGGTTATGGCTACAACCCTGTCTGTAGTGCATCTATTCACATTAGAGAGGATATTGCTTTTAAAAATGCATATAAATGCAGTATTATTAATATTCAGCCATGACCACTGTAGGCAGATTAAATTTTGGCAGCTGTAAAATTAGATTTGTGAATTTCCAGAGCTGCAAAATATAAGCACATTACTAAAGTATTGGCTCAACAAAAGATTACACTAAAGAATCCACTGTTTTCATCATATTTGGTAGCCGAGAGGGCTGTGGGAATTTGGCGAATATGGGGAATGTTGCACCATTTAGAGGACAGTTGCACTTACATTTCCTGAGTAATGTTAATGAATAATGCATTAATAAACAATTGAAAACTTTTATGCTGCTGCCGAGTCGGAGATAATTGATGTGCTATATTGCTGTGTTACTTTGTTTGCACGTCTTTGCACTTCACTCACCAGGTCTGGCGTTCATGTCCTGTTGAGGATTATGCATGATTTGCAAAAACATAACATGCATTTAAATAAAATTTGATTTACATGAATTAATAGTGGCTCAAGAGTTGGGAGTTCGCCTTGTAATTGGAAGGTTGCCGGTTCGAGCCCCGGCTTGGACAGTCTCGGTCGTTGTGTCCTTGGGCAAGACACTTCACCCGTTGCCTACTGGTGGTGGTCAGAGGGCCCGGTGGCGCCTCGCCTCTGTCGGTGCGCCCCAGGGTGGCTGTGGCTACAATGTAACTTGCCATCACCAGTGTGTGAATGGGTGGATGACTGGTTGTGTAAAGCGCTTTGGGGTCCTTAGGGACTAGTAAAGTGCTATACAAATACAGGCCATTTGCCATTTAATAGCGCTGAGAATCAGCATTAAGGCTTTCATTCATATTTTATCTTTGCATTATTTCAGCTATAGGAAGTCTGTTAAAAGTGTGGAAATGTAATACACCAGACAGCATTACTGTCTTTTAACGTGTCTTTGTTCCCTCTTCTTTCAGCTTTGTTGGATGCTTTAATGAAGAATGGGAGCTCAGCAGGTAATGGCACATATCGCAGGAGAGCAGCGGAAAACTCAGAAACCAATGGTACTCAGTCAGAACGAGAGAACCCAGGATCTGGAGTAGGTGACCCGCCTAAAAGCTTCACGAAAGAGCAGGTTGAAGGCGTGCAAAGGTGAGACTCGCTGTGCTTCGTTTTCCACTAAAATCTGTCCCACTTCAGTTGGCTATTTTTGTGCTCTTCAGCTTTGCTGCAGTTGGCTTTGTGACAGCACCAGTGTTTCTTGGTTAAATGGAGGAGAACAGATAGGACACTCTAGTCTCAGCAGTGTTGTGCACACATGGCTATTGCTATGGGAACTTCTACATCTTGATAGGTTTCCCATTGGAATAGGCCGGTATTTAGCAGTGTGGACTAGATACTGGGTAACTTTACATGTGGTAATTTTAGAACATTAGAACTAAACAAAGAGAAAGGCAAGCATAGCACATTTACCCATATCCTCAAAAGATGTTTATGGCAAGTTGAGTTTATTTCCAGGATAAACATGCTGCTTGTATTACAGTTAAACTTAGCCACTCTTTCCCTTGTGTTTTTCTGTTAAATCCATTGGGA